ATTAATAAATATTTTTTACTGTGTATATTATATATCAGGGGTGTCCAAACTCGGTCCTGGAGGCCCGGTGTCCTGCTGAGTTTAGCTCCAACTTGCTTCAACACAGCTGCCCGGAAGTTTCTAGTATATCTAGTAAGAGCTTGAATAGCTGATTCAGATGTGTTTGATTAGGGTTGAAGCTAAACTCTTCAGGACACTGGCCCTACAGGACCGAGTGTGGACACCCCTGTTATAGATCGTATTTAGTTATTTATCTCGCATGTTATATCATATTATATTATCTGATAACTATAATAGTATAATTTAAATAATTCTGTAGTAATTCTAACAGTAACAGCTAGTAGTTTCTATAATGTCACCGAATCCTCCTCCTCCTACTACTACACCCAGTCATAATTGAATTGAGGTTTTGATTGACTGGGTGTACAATAGTCAATCTACTGATGGACAGTATTCATCCATTATATAGATCTGCCTTTTATACCTGCTGTACAATATTGGAGAAATCAAACATATTTTGTGACACCCACATGAGGATATACTATAGTAATGTATAGTCAATACTGCAGTGTTTTATTAACCATACTGACACTGACAATAGAGATAGAGATGTTGCTGATATTGTTTTTATGTATAGGCGATATATGTCGTTTCAAAGCAGAAAAGTTAGTCACCATAACTTTTATAAGTAAGTTATTATAGGTATAGTTAATCTGCAATTATATAGTAAATAAGTGATGCCTATGTGTAGATATTCAATAAAGTGTATTAAATCTGCTTTTGTGTTTACAGTCAGGGTCAGATTTCTGACTCTCTGATTGGTCCATTGGGACGACAATGGTCACATGATGACACTTTTAGCAGTTCATTGATGGTTAAAAATGCTTTTATACTAGACTTCCTTGAGAACAGTTAAGTTGACTAATGCTTAAGTTCTTTATAGGCTTCTGGATTATGTATTGTTTTGCATATATATATACACACAAGGAAAATTGTTTTATATTTGAGAGAAAAATAAATAAATAAAGTTTATTAATAAAATAAATAATACAATTAATTAAATGAATAAATAATAAAAGGTAATTAATTAGATAAATACAAATTGAATAAAGTTAGTTTAATATAAAAATTATATAAAGAGTAAAGTAAAGATTAAAGAACTTTTATTGTCATTGTAGTTGTACAACGAAATTTGTTTGGTAACTCACAGAGACCAGCAGCAATATAAAAAGAGAGAAAGCAAACAATAGACATAATACTAAAATATATGATGCAAGATGAAATATACTAAATAATCATAATAAAAAATAAGTAAATAATCACATTTAATAATAAAGTTAATAAATAAAAATAAATAAATAAAATTAAAATAATGTGTTTAGGGCTGCACCATACATCGTTTCAGCATCGAAATCGCGATGTGCGCATCCGCAATAGTCACATCGCAGGAGGAGAATTATATAAAAATAATTATATATATATATATATATATATATATATAACTGCCATATTATTTATGTATTGTAAAGTTAATTGTTGGTAATTATTAGAACAAGTTTATCTTATCCACAATTTATTTGTTTTATAACATGTTTATTTTTTAATCCACTCAGGGGGTTAGTGTTTAGCTGTTTTTATATTTTTACAATTTTGTGACAAGGTATTTTCTTCTGTTTTGTAATAGTTGTAATAAAAAAAGTTTGTAATTGTTGAATAAAAAGTTAAATTACTTATTTTGTCACTCGTGTTAATTCCTAAATGTGATAATAAAGCGTCATCTTTGCATTTACCAAATGAGCTCACCTTTATCACAGTAAAAACAACATTTAGTATTAATATCATAACATTAGGTCCTTGATTTATCTGAATTGACAGTTAAGTCATATTGTTTTTATAAACAACCCAAAAGAAACTATAAAAATGTTTGTTCAGTGTTTTACTTATTAATTTTTTATATTCTATGAAAATGCTTAAAAAATTACCCAAATTATCATAGAATTATTGATTATTTAATTTTTGAGCAGTTCAAAACTCCCGATTCTGAATTTCTAAATATCGCAATATATATATCGCAGGGAGAAAAAAAATATCGCATTGTAATTTTTTTCCAATATCGTGCAGCTCTACATGTAATTTAACGTGCATTTCCACAAAGGTGTTTGTTATAGAAAGCATTTGACTGTCTAAAGCAGGGATGGCCAAACTTTATTTTTTTAAAGGGCCACTGAGGTTAGTGGGCTGAAGGTAAATATTTACCATGGGTAATTTTCTAATTTATTTAATAATGTTTAACAATGACTAAAAACATTGCTTTATATTAGTTTTATATATATATATATATATATATATATATATATACATATACATATATATACATATATATATATATATATATATATATATATATATATATATATATATATTTTTTTTATTTTTTATTTTTTTTATACTTATCTACTGTTATATTTGAATTGTTTGCTAGATAAAAACCACCTCATGG